TCTTAGATTTATTGCTCCAGAACTCTTGTCCATCAGACAGTTGGACATATCGAGACGAAGACTTTGGTGGCTTCCTAGCTCACTTAGGAGCTGTGAAAGGTGGAAGCCACAACCCTTATTCCATAGGCATGAGTGTTCTGCAAAGTTTTCGAGCACAAGTGATTCCAGAGCTGAAGTGAAAAGTTTTGCTGCCAGGATCTGGGATAAGGAGGTTTCAAGTCTCCTGCTGAAGGAGGTGCAAGATCTCCTTGCAATTGAAAATTTAAGGAGGAATTTTAAGGAGGAATTTTTCAAAAATTCCACCTTAATTTAAGGAGGAATTTTAAGGATGAATTCCTTAAATAAGGAGGAATTCCTTAAATAAGGAGGAATGGAAGTTCTGGGTTTCATCGTCGCCTGCAGCCACTTTACACGGAAAAACACAAGGTTTCGTGCTCCGGCTTCCTCCCCAACTCACCACTTCCCTTCCTCACCACTTCCCATCGTCACCACTTCCCATCGTCACCACTTCCCTTCGTCACCACTTCCCTTCGTCACCACTTCCCTTCCTCACCACTCCCCTTCATCATCACTTCCCTTCCTCTCCACTTCCCTTCGTCACCACTTCCCTTCCTCACCACTTCCCTTCGTCACCACTCCCCTTCATCATCACTTCCCTTCTTCACCGCTTCCCTTCGTCACCACTCCCCTTCATCATCACTTCCTCAAGGTCAATTTCATAGCTTCTTATTCTTTTGTTATGTATTGGTACATTATGTATTGTTATATTATGTATTGTTATATTATGTATTGTTATATGATCTACCACCCTTCCTCAAGGTCAATTTCATTGCTTCTTATTGGTTTGTGATGTATTGGTACATTATGTATTGTTACAGGATCTACCACCCTTCATCATAGTCAATTGCACCAAGTAAAAAGTCATTCGTAACTCGGAAATTGCTTCCCAACTTCCTTTGATAATGATATGGGGTGACGGTCCATTTGCCAGTTATTTTGATTTTCAGGGCGACATGTTTTGGCCCGGAAAAAATAGTTGTGATATTCAAGTCGCGACAATGAAGCCTTCAATTCCGCCATCCCTGACTGACCACGTGCTTTTTCTCCCTGTTTCGATGCTCCGACCACCATCAAATGGATATATTAGCATATATAAGTTTGATTCTCCATCAACATCCGTCACATTTTTGTTTTACTTCAAGTCCATTTTCACGCGAGCCTGTTCAAATGTTGTGAGTAAAGGAACCTCAGTGACCGACCAGGCCTTACCCAAATGCGGAAGTCTTGTACTTTTCCGGGATTGATTGGCGCAGTTTCAGGGAACATTTGAACATAGTATTGTGCTTGGTAAAACAAGAAAACATACACTAGGTTTCCAGCGGGTCTTTTCCTGAAAATCACCATATAAAACCAGTAATAGCATGCATGCATATATATATATATATACAGCATATAACAAAATAAAAATAAAAAAACGTTAAACTACCTTTATTTACCAGCAAATTTCCATGGATTTCAGCCTTTGTTCGGCCCCTCCACACCTTCCATCGCCAAGGTTCGCCCCGCGCGAGGCGCGAGTGCTGGGCCACGGCTGGCAGGTGAATCGCGTGCGCGAGAACAGCTGGGCGGAGCAGCAGGGCGTCCTCGCAGGCGATGAGTTGCACTGCAGCTCGGCCAAGCCCCGGTGTTGGTGGTTTTGGAATAATTTTGAGATAACCTTTATTTATGGTTCTACGGAATTGTACATATTTCATCATAGGGTGGTTGGAATAATGAAAAATGGTGATTCAATATGACTAATATATGGAATAATGATATAATATTTAACATGGTGAATGGGATAACTATTACTATGATAGATTTCAATGATGTAATTCTCTGATTCTATGTTGTTTTATGGTGATTTAATATGACTAATATGGAATAATAATGGGATAAGTATTATACCTACTACCATACTATGGAATATACTCGTACCAGATGGGCCGCAGTTGGCTATGGAAAATCTGAAGGCCATAGATGGGGTCAACATAGATGGGCCATGGTACTTGGGGAATCTATTCGGATATCGTAGCTTCCGGGTATTGCATACAGCATGTTTTTTTTACATATAGTATACATATATATGTATACGGTATACATATATATATATATATAAGTATGCTCACCAGATAACTGCAAACACACACATATATATATATATACATACACATTTACACAAATAAGTAGTATGTATACATATATGTATATGGTTATTTATATATATATATACATATGCGCATTCGCTGGTGAGCCCCTATATAAAACATGCCCATTTAAGGTTTTTCAAGCTCCCTATGTGTGCCCAACCCACCACTGCCGCGGCTGAGACATTGAAGGGCATCCTGTTGAGGTCCTGCCTGAGGCTGTCCAAGGGTCTTAACGGTGGTCATGGTGAAGCAGTGGGAGAGTAGTGTGAATTTGTATGGGTGAAGTATGGGAAAATGGTGATTTAACGATGAAAAAGATGGGAGAGTACAAGTAGGGGTAAGAGTACACGTGGGATATAGCCATATATAGCCATATATATGCCATAAAAATGATCATGCTATTTTGACCCTCATGTTTGGGATATAGCCATATATAGCCCCAACTATGATTGCAGATCCACTTAGTTCACACTGCACTTCCAAGTAGTATGAGGTCTCGAAAATTTGGATTTATATAACCATGAGAAAAGGTTGGTTTAAGCATATAAATATGTTTGGCAACGCTACCATGGTAAAAGCAAGGGTAACCATTGATTAAGGAAATGGTTTGCGAACATGTGTTTTTCCATGCATACTCCCGCATGGTAAACGTTTGGTAAAGACATTCTCAAAGCATTTCCATTTCGTGAAAACACCTAATATAAAACCAGTTTAATATACAGTATTATCATTATTATAATAAAACATCAGTTTATACATTATTCATTATTAATTGTCAATATCAATAACCATTACTTCGTGGGATTCAGTTTAATATACAACATCTTGATATTTGGTCAAATATAAACACCAGTATATAATACATCTTAACATATATAATACATATTAAACTGGTGGTTTTTAAATGGGTTTTATATTAGGTGTGAACATTATTAAAACCAGTTTATTATACATTGAAACTACTTTAATATAAAACACCAGTTGTGGTTTTTGAATCCCACGTTCGCTGACAGGCCGAAGTCATGGGACTCTTGCAGCAGCGGCCGGTGACGCTCACCTGGCTTCGTCGCAAGGTTCGCTTCGAGGGAGCTGATCTCACCATGGAATAAGCGGCCGGTGATTTCGCTATTGAAATGGTGATTTAATGGGACTTTAACCAACAACAATGGTGATTTAATGAAACTTTAATCATCAACAATATGGATTTGAAGATATTTAACCATCAAAGATGGTCATATTCTATGGGGAGTTGCTGGGGCTTGCTATGATTTGGCCATCAACCATGGTGACTTAACCATCAACAATGGTTGATGGCCAAAGGTTGTAGAATGGGGACCATCATAGGATACATACTTTCAACATACCTGCCACGGACATTCATTGACTCATCCCTTCCCCCTAATATTAGACACCCTTCAGAAACCATGCTTTATCAGCGGGTTTAGGCATATTTGGGACCATAGAAATGAGGATGTTTAGTAACGGGGGATGGGATTATTAACGGTCTGATACAACCAGTCATGGCCATTAGGGTCTGACCGGTCTTCGAATAGGTAAAATGATCTTAATAGTGACTTAACTAACCAAAAATTGCATAGTGGGGATATAATGGGGAATATGGATGTTTGTTTTTTTCTTCGTGGAGTATGTGCCACAGAGATCATCTCCATGAAACATGGTGATGTATGAGATGCTACAAGGTTTCACACCATTAGATATGGGTACCCTTTGGTAAACATCCAAAAAACTATGGAACATCACCATTTTTTCATGGGAAACTCACTATTTCAATGTCCATGTTCAATAGCTTTTTGTATGCTAACCATTTCGGGTAAACTTAGCCAAATATGAGCTACCCAACTTGGAGCCCTTCAGTAGATCTCATCCATCCCTGGGTGAACGTGGTGCAAGCTGGGGTTGATGAGGCCTAGCCGGCCTAGGTCATCAAATGTGGCTAGCTGGGAAATCTACTGTAGTTCAGAAATGGTGGTTTCAATGGGAAAACCAAACTATAAGATCTATAAGTGTATATATACCTATTTCTACAAATGGTGTCAATCAATGGTTTAAATCCTTTTAGTCTACAAATGATGGATTATTCATTTCTATGTTTGATTGCGAGAGGGTAAATCCGTTGATCATCATTAATCACCATTATCAATCACAATGAACAAGTATGAACCACTACTTACCATTGTGAATACCAGAGGGTATAACTATTACTATCCCAACTGAGAGTCAGCAAGTGAAGGCGAAGCGGAGCAGCCTTCTCCAGCCTTTTTTTTTTTAATGGACAATCCGTCATGTGTAGATCATGGAACCATGGATTTACATAGCTACGTAAAAAGTTTACTGGACGGTATAAGTATTTTTCTCAGTTTAGGTTTTACTCAAATTTGCCCCAATCGTGATGTTTATGGAGGTATATCTCTGCTTAACATCAGCCGTATGGTAGATACTTCCAGTTTAGCTATCTGAAATTTCCTTCCACCATGAATGATGGTTCAGTAATTTGGAATAACGTTCAGTTTGGCAACCAAAATGATAACAAGTTTATATACAGTAGAAATAGGATGATATAGGTACATATATGCATATATACATACACATGCATATAATAATATATATATACATACATGTACATACATAATAATAATGCATGAATTAACAATAAACAAAAACATAAATAAATTAATAAAATTAAGTGTGTATATTAATATATATATATAAATAAGACTTATGTACAAATAAATGCTTTTGATTGACCGAGATCCCTGTTTCACCTGCCTGGCCCAAGAAATTGGTCGAGTTTCTGGGCGTTGCCAAAGAGCCGCCATGGGTTGCTGTTGCTGCGTGTCAGCCTCTGCGGCAGCGCCACCGCCCGCATCCACTTATGTGGGCTGTTGGGTGACCGGTTGCATTGGCTACAGGCTTTTTGGTTACCCCTTTTCCAAGTTTTCACATCAGAAAATTATTGCATGTTTTGTGTGTGTGTTTTTTTGGGGGGTGTGGTTTCAACTATTTTTGTGTTTTCCATCCTCCAATGGATCACGGTGTCAATTGACACAAAACTTGTTTCTGTGGGTGGAGAACAGGATTCAAATGTGCGAACGCTTCTAGAAAACTGAGTAAAAGCAAAACAAAAGAACGACCTTCTGAAGGATCAAACAAGTCGAGGTATTTGTTTTGACTAGCGTGGTAAAATTAATGGAAACTCTCCCCAGTTGGGATAGTTGGGAATGGTTTTTAAACACCATTCCGATATTTCTGGTTTATTGATTTCCGACTTTATTCAGGGCCCATGGTTGTATCATATTCCCCATTATTGTTGGGCCTTCAACCCCCTTATTCTCAGGTCAGTGAGGGCCTTTCGCTCAACGACATCGCAACGGGCTATGGCGTGCACCGTGCGAAGAAGGGCTACGGCCTCATTCGGGTGGCGAACAGTGCCACGGGTGCGGGCGCGCCGGCGCCGTATGTGAAGATGAAGATTGATGGGAGCGGCTATGTGAACTATGGCCGGAAGGTGGGGGGATACTGTAGAAATTCTGTAGAACAAATCACAGTCCCCCAGTTCGTTCGCCAAGTTGGTGAACATAATTCCATATAATTTTGATTTCACTATGGTTTAGGATACATCTATGTATAGTAAGGTGATTAAACACCCAATTATAATTTGCTTTATGATCCCCATTAAGTATAGACTTTTTGATGTATCATCATGAAACCAATTATTTTAAAGTTATGATGCACCAACAGAGCTGACCCAGGAGGCCAACGGCTTCTGTCGGGTACTGGACCTCTACGCGGGCGCCTGGGACGAGAAGCAGGCGGACTTCGGCTGCTGCGGGGGCCAGTTGCAGGTGACCTACGACGCATCAGCGGACGCGTTGCTGGTGGATGGGGTGACCTTGCGCCGATGCGAAGAGGATGCCGGATGAAGACCGAAGCCTAGGGGAAATGTTGCATAAATTTAAATTATTTGCATGATCTAAAAGGTACGAAAGCGTTCCCCATTTGTAGTTTTATTTGGTCATAACATCTTAAGTCATATGATGGATTTGATTGACATATTTTATGTAGATATTTTAGATGGGAATCAGGTTGCTTCTCTCGTGAACAATGGGATCTTGAGGTTCCATCTCTCTGATTCGGCCAGCTTGGAGGTATCTTCTGATATCCCCATCACTGTTGACAAGATTTGGCAGTGTGTCAAAACCTTGTACCCCTGGTGAACATCAAAATAGCTGGTAAATGGATGTTCATTCCCCTAAAAATGGTATTAATAGGTATTGATCCATACCCATTTGTTGTGATCCATCTCGGGATAATGCCCCAGTTGCTAACCTAGTGACGCACTGATATGTTTTCGATATTTTTAGGTGGTTAGGAGCATGGCTATCCCCCCCATTTGATTGAAGCAAGAGCAAGATTTCATCTTTGGCAATCCTTTTGCTGGTTTAGTACCTTCACCGAGGAAACATGAGGAACCTTAAGGTATCCTGATGAACCGGCTTGATGCCAAAATGTATGGACCCATACGCAGGTCCAACAAATGTTGATTTGTTACTGTAGTTATCGTCATTGTTTATATGCACATGTATGCTATTTAAGTGTATTTGATTTTAACTTATTGATATGATATATCATATCCTATCCAGTACTTGGCCACAGCCTTCAAGATTGGCTCCATCCGCTTGGCACCATGCCGAAGGCATGACTGAAATTTTAGCGCGTTGGAAAAAGCAGTTCGTCCATGGCCCATGTCACGGACATACCCTCTGGTTATTTAAGTATAGCTATGGAAAATGGCCCATAGATTATGTGTGATTATGAATTAATATAACAAAGCATGTGATTTCCCATAGCCACGTAAAATGACCAGAGAGTAATAGTCAGATACAACCACAAAATTAATGGGTGTATCACGATAAATCCTCCTTCGGTTGGTGGTCTCTTTGTTTTCTGAGGTCGAACAGTATAAATGGAATGACCCAAAAATTGGCGTTCATGTTGTTGGGAAGGGTTGGAACCACCAACTGCAAAACACTTGCGGCTTTGAGTGTTTTTGTCCTTCCAATCTAGGTATTATCCGATTTGATCATGATGCGCCAACCCGATTGACAACAACTTGCAATGAGATGACACAGGGTTGATCACCAAAGCATCAAGCAAGACGCTTCGCTTTCGCTAGCATGAGCCCCCGTGTCACATGAATTTGGAAGTGGCTTTCATGTTGGAATAAATTTCAGTTTTGGGTGTTCCATATCACAGTACCCCCCAAAAGACCGAACATGAATTTGCCTCTTTTTCAGTGAAATTTTCTATCCCTTTGGGTGTTGCTATATCGTTTTTGGGGCACTTAATAGAGCCACACGGCTTCTGCGCCCTGCAGGCCGCAGCTACGCCAGAGGCGGGATTTTGGCAATTTGGGTTTCACCGTTTCAGTATAGCAACAGAGTGGAATGATCCCTGAGGGAGATTGACTTAGTGGGATGATTATGGTTATGATATGGTGGGACATAGCCCCTCAGGGATCATATGAGTCACGGTCAAAATGGTGAAAACCACTTTAGTATTGCAAGAGTTGTTTGTCAGAGATGTGCACGAAACACTGTAAAGCGATATGGGCCCCCCAAAAGCGATAAGCTGGGACCATACACGACAATCCATTGAACTTGGCGTAAGCCAAGCAAATACTGTTGCGCACATTCACCCAACGGTAAAACCGATGAGGGAAATTCAACCTGTGGTGCCCTTTTCCTGCAGTTACCATATCATTTGGCATCCAACTCGCTCGCTCTCTTTCTCTCTTTCTCTGTTTCTCTTTGATCTCTTTGTCTCTTTCTCTGTCTGTCTCTTCTCTCTCTCTCTCTCGTTTTATGGAAAATATCCTTCGAACAATGTCATATGTTGTAGGGGTTATTTAGCAATAACCTTAGCGATAACTTGGCGATAACCGTTTGTTGCACTCGGTCCCCTGGCCCAGCCATAAACCCATTTCCACAGCCTCAGAAAGGAATTGAAGGAAATTAATGCAACATGAAAGGAAAATGCATGCAAATGAAAGGAAGTTGAAAGAAAATGAATGCACATTGGAATGAACACGAAGGGAATATGAAAGGAAAATGAAAGGACATGAATATAAAAGGAAATAAATGCGAAATGAAAGCGACATCAATTCTCGCCGAAGCACCTGAAACCAACAAAGCAACTCCTCGATCGATTTCCAAGCCTGTTTAGGAATGGATTTTGCTTCATGTTGGATCTCGAATATGCTGATTTGTACAAAACCCTGGAAAGCGACAGCCCCCCCCAAAAGCGATAGCCATGACAATAGCAACTACTCAGATGTAAAGGATTTTGACGGGAACTCATATGGTTATTGATATACCACAGTTTCAATATATGGTTATGGTATGGATTTTTGACGGGGATATAGTGGGAATATATTTGGATGTAGAAAATGGGTGGCCCCGAAATTCCAATGGATTACCATAAATTTCGCTTTGAAACTGTTTAAATGGCCATGAATTGGGCTGGCAACCCCCATGTTTGAACAAAATCCATATATATATATATATATATTGATTGTACATACATATATAATTATATATATACTGTAAATTGATATCGTATATATCATGATGGACCAGTTTCAAACAACTCACTTTTCAGGCGCCCACCACCTGGGTGTGAATTTCAGTTCATAGCTGGTTGAACGCGGGGTTTATCCCGTAATATATCGTTTATATTGGGTTGATTCAAGAGGTCTGTGATTCAGGACTCCCTTTGAGAACTGGGTATTTTGATGTATTTTGATCATTTGTTCCCCAGCAGGTACGCGCATCACCATGTTTTGTGTGGGTCTGTCCATGATTCAGAACTGTATTACAACCACTGTCTCAGAATTGTTTGAATAATTCGTATTTTTGGTTGCCATACCAAGAACTAATTTGAAAGGCAATTCTCGATGCTCATGCATGCAGATGCCCACAAAGATCACAAAGCACAAGAGAACGGTGTAAAGAAAGGTTGCATCTCCATGTTTGGTTGGTAGGGGAAGGGGTTACCTGAATCATCATACAGGGATGCACTTGGAAGTGCAGCTCCAGTGAACTAAGCATAGTGAAATGGGGTTATATATCATGTTACATGCCAGTTTACAGGAGTTTTATAAGTGTTATAACCACAGTTATACCATATAAATCCATATAATCTACTCATAGTTATAGGAGGTTATACCCACAGAATCCCATAGAAGTAACCTGGCCTGCACCTTGAGTGGGTTGCCGACTGGGTTGCCGACTGGGTTGCCAAGGAGCCGGAGGACACGGCCGTGCCGCCGCAGGCTGGGAAAGCTGGAACCTACATGGGGCTATCATGGGGATATTTTTTGGGATATAGATGATATACCCTCTGGTTATTTAACATAGCCATGGAAAATGGCCCATAGAAATAGATGGTTTACCTGGGTTTACCTATTAAAAATGGTGATTTTCCATGGCTATGTTAAATAACCAGAGGGTATATATATATATATATATATATAGATGATATAGCCAAGAATATGATTTATGTCAGTTATGTTATATGAATTTATATGATACCATCTGGCAATAGCTAACAGTTTGCGAACTGGAACATCCACAACCTTTGATATGTAAATCATCTGGAAATGTGAGCCATGTTTCATAGCTATGTTGACGCCAGGTTTAGGAATTTAACCGGAATGGAGGAGAAGCGTTTTTAACTTAGCACGGGACAGTCTATGGAGTGTATCCTGTACTTACTGGGCATTGCATTGCATTATTTTATATATATATATGTGTGTAGATTTGGTAGACAGATAGATTAGATTTGCTTCGCTTTGCTTAGATTATATAGATTCATTGAGAGATATTTAGAGCTATAGATGAACAATAGATAGATAGATGTCAGTGCATCGTATGTGGGTGGATACACATGTAGACATATTGTTCGATGCGTAACGATTTTTGTAGAACCCAATAATACGCCATCCCCAATAGAGGTTTATTATTGGGTTATATGTATATATATATATATATATTGTCATTCTTTCCGAAAGTGCTTTATTCCTGATGTCAGGCAGATCACGTTTCGGAGCTCCAAGTTGGGGGCCCGAAATGCCTGAAAGAGAGACATCGGAGGGTCATGACTGGAGGGATAAATCGGATAAATCAACAGTTCGATCCTGAGATGGGTGTTCATATAATATGCTTTACTGGATTTAATGTTTTCGTTTTCAGAGTTTTACAACTCCCCAACCAACAGTTCGACCCTGAACAAATGGGGAAAAATCACTAGAAATTACAGAACGCGATTTATCCGCCATGAAAAACACGATTTCATGGGATTTTAATGGGGTCTCATGGGGTGTATCATGGAATTGATCGGCAATTCTATGAAAATCGGGGGATCTACCTCTGCAACACTCCAGTAGATCTGCGGGGATTGACTATGGATATCTATGGATCATGGTGATTTGCCGAACAGAAGTAAGGACTTTAGTAGGGGAATTTGGTTGCGCCCCCTGGGCCTTGGGTGAAAATTCCAACCACTGATTTTGGTACGTTTGCTCCCTTGAGTCATGCCAGTTTGTTTCACCCATGGGCATGATAGAATCACTTGTATTCTTGGTGGAAAGCCCCTTCTTGACCGAGTCCCGATAGGAACAAAAATCTTCAGCTGTTTCAGGTGGGGAAGAGTGATGTAGAATGCGTTTTGCGAGCCTTAACAGTAATACAAATGGGGAGGCACACGTGGAGATACCCTTGGTGTCGCATGTTCAACAGAAGAACCATCTACAGGGAGTGGATTCTCGTTCTCCAAGTCACTGTAGATTGTCAGAAGCTTCAAATTGAATGGTACCCTTTGGCAATCAAATATGGCTAGCTGGGAAATCCCTGAACTAAATCAAGATTTTTAATGTGAGCATAATTTATAGAATCCATTTCTATCTATTTTAATCGATCGACTGCAAGTTTTGGGGATCACCAGTGAAATCTGATCGGCTGGGGCTCAAGAGCGGTGGAGCTCTCTGCCTGTACAGAACTCTCTTGAGCCGGCGATGATGTTCAGGATAAATTTGTATGATTGTATATGTATGGAGAGGCTGATCTTCAGAGATTTTCATTTAGAATGTTTACATCTGTATATATAATATATATATATAGATATATAATTAGCTAAACTTAAGAGCCATGCTAAGCATGGTTTCTATAAGCTTCCAACGGGATGGGACGGGTACAGTGGCACACCCTGGTGGTACAATGGTACGCTGGGAGGGTACGATGGGACAGCGCACTGGTACAGTGCAAAGGTGCGATGGTACAATGCAAAGGTACGATGGGACACTGTACTGGTACAATGCAAAGGTGCGATGGTACAATGCAAAGGTGCGATGGTACAATGCAAAGGTGCGATGGTACAATGCAAAGGTGCGATGGTACAATGCAAAGGTGCGATGGTACAATGCAAAGGTGCGATGGTACAATGCAAAGGTGCAATGGTACAATGCAACGGTACGATGGTACAGGGCACAAGGTAACATGGGGCAATGTAAAGGTACATGGTACAACACATGGTAGGATGGCAACAGGATTTCCACACACATTCCACTTATCTTATCTTATATTATATTTTATAATATTATATTTATATCATATTTTATTATATTATATTATATCAGATTATATTATATTATATTATATCATATTATATTATATCATATTATATTATAGTTTTATGCTATATGCTTTTTAAAAATGCAATATTCAATAAAATAATATACTCTACATTGCATCATAAAACGGACTATATAAACTGGTTAAAAATAAGGGGTTTCCGCATAGTATATACACGTCATAACTGATTCACAACTCATGACTACCAACTATCTCGTTTTCCATGTCAAGTCATGACACAGACCAACAAGATAAACAACACAGCACCATACACAAAAAACAAGGACCACCACTCATGATGAATGGAAGTTTGGAGCAACAATAAATCAATTCATGATTATGATGACACGCACACACACATACAAAACATTACAACAACACACCATCACAACCAACAATACCTACCTACAACAAATAACATCACTGTTCACTATTCACATCGAGTTCGACAGTAACTAAATTTCTATAGTCCATAATGTAAAGTTATTATAAAGAATGCCCATACACATACCATTGGCACAATGAAAATAGTATAGCATATAAATTAAATCATTTATATATAAAATATAGCACAACACAACAAAAATAACAACGTCAAAACCAACAACACCAACAACACCAACAACAACTAAACCAACAACAAAACCAACAACAAAACCGACAACAAGGCCAACAACACAACCGGCAACAAAACCAGCAACAAACCAGCAACGAAACCAACAACAAAACCAGCAACAAAACCAGCAACAAAACCAACAACAAAAACCAGCAACAACACGAACAACACAATCAGCAAAAAAAACAAAAACAAATCCAACAACAAAACCACCACTAAAGCCAACAACAAAACCAACAATAAAACCAGCAACAAAACCAACAACAAAACCAGCAACAAAACTAGCAACAAAACGAACACCACAATCATCAACAACACCAACAACAAAACCAACAACAAACCACCAGCAACATTACCAACAATAACCACCACAACGACAACGGCAATGACAACGACGATTACAACGACAACGACGACAGCACCGACAACAACAACAACAACAACAACCACAACCACATGTGTAACTACAAGTACAACTAGGACAGTAACAAGAACAACAGCAACCAAAATTGTTTCTCATTAGCTATACAACCGGTAATGTAATATAACATTTTGTAACATCAGGACCATGCCATTACAAACTGGGTCACGGAATCTACTACAAACAGATGGTCACAAGGTTGTAGTATTATACCTCAATCACAAATAAATTTGTATAAACAATATAAGAGTTGTTTTTGGTTGGGTCATGTGCATGCCAAAGTCTGAAGAATGAATAACAATTGCTATATGTTTTCTAAGATACAAAAATCATAAATGCTGATCATCCAGTGAATCAAGGGGGTTCAGGGAAACACACCATGATTGATAGGTTTCCTGTCATTGCACTTGCCATGATGCATTTCAACAGCGCTCATCAACAAAGCCAATGGCTCCATGTCATATCAGACAGACACAATGCACAAAACAATTCGAACTTAACTTAACAGAGTTACATCATGACTCACGATAACAAACTGAAATGTACTTATTTATCATTTCGGAACACATTGCAACATGTTACAAACTCTAGCGAGTATCAAAATAAGATCTATTCATAAACCAGGCAGGTGACCTGGCAGGTTGTTGGTTAGGAAAAACCATGAAACTGAACCCTGAACCCAAGGGATGTTAGACAGATATCATATGCACCTGTACGACCAATGGACGACTTTGCTGTGAATCACCCTGTCCGTGATCCTCTGCAACATCTGAAGTTGAAGTTCGCTCGGAAGTGCAGCTCGGGTCAAGACTTGAAACTCTGTCAGTCTAGAATCTAGACTCGGTGTGAGAAGTAACTACCACCATAGTCCAACCCAAATTTATGTTCAGATTTAAATATAGTTATACTTGGTCAAATGGCAATCATAATTATTTGGTGATTTCGGCTGCATTTCCTTTTGCTACACTTTTTCTATTCCTTCGACAGTATACAACTGGGTTACCCAGGTAAAGAAGCATCCAAGTTGAAACGTACGCTGGACAAGAAGGACGATGCAACGAGGCATGTCAGTGTTCTTCAGATTCTTCACTCCCTCTAGACTCTAGACCTTGTAGATATCTCGTTATCATCAAATCTATATTAAAGTAAATAACCTTTAAAATTTTAAAATGTAATTTTAGATTTTAGATGTATAGCCATATTATTGCATAAAGAAAATACATATGATCAAGTCATCAAGTGATCTATCTAAGCTACTGCAACAACATTATATATATATACGATATATGATGCTAGTATATATATATATACGATAATTTAAAAAAAAAACACACATATATATAATATGTGTTTTTTTATTTTATAGTCACATATTGACATGTTGCAAGTAAGATTCTGTAGAGTACATGTAAGGGAAAAATCAGGATTCCCTCTTTTGAGTTTGTGTTCTGGTGTGCATGATCCATATTGTGTGGAAAATGGGAAACGCAGAAACATATTCCTTTGTATATGTCATACTTTTTTTAATTTTTAACAGTATCGTTGTTGTTATCAAAACGAATCGAAATTATACCTTCCACTTTCCCTTGCATGTGGCCAGGGTAATCCTGCACAAGTTCCACAAGAACCATGCGATACGAAAATCTGATACCTTGGGGTCTGCGAAGGGCAAGATCAAAGGGCGAGGGAGGTACAAAAGTTGGACCCCAACTGCTATTTTACGTGCGTCGTTCCTTGTTTCTTATACTTTGTTGAATTCAACTACAGATCATTCCAATTCAAGATTCACGATTCAAAATTCAAAAACAAAACACACACATCAAACCATACTGTATGATCTTTCTTTCATACTTTCCTTGAGTAGCTGTTAGTTGCACCCTGAGACTGAACCACGACTTCCAGATTGTGTTGTTATTTGTTGCCAACACTTACACTCTAACATTTGTAACATTCTAATTTTAATTTTCATTTAACAGTAACACAGCATCATCATCATACTAAGATATTACTACTTGTGGCTCATCACTCATCACCAAGGTTTGGAACAGCTTTTCAACAGAATGGGAAGAGAAGGTCAAAACTACAGGACAAATGTCCATCTATGTTTTCACTGAATTCCCTGGCTTTTTGGATATCAAGTTCGACAAGCCATATAGCCTCTGCCAGGTGGCTGCACTTATACTAATAAGACATAAACTCTTGCTCAGTTTACCAGTGAGAATTCGTTTCATGGGTTAGAAGTTAAGTTAGAAGTTTTTTTTTTCGTTTTTTTTGTTGGCGTGTGAGTGGTATATAATTTCGCTTATGTCGCATACCTGCCCAAGTTGTTGTAAGGTACGCTGTGCTGTTTCAGAGCTCTGGTCACAATCGGTGTCTGATGCCTTACAGACTATGTTGGAAGAGACTTGGGGGCATTTACATAACAATATATTTTATTGATTTGGAATATTTTGGATTTGCTACACTTCTTTCAACTTTCAATACCTGAAGACCTGAAGATTTTGTTGATGTCAGTCAAGGAAAAACCTTCTGTCGTTGCAGTTTCTGTGGAGTTTGATGCAAGCTCTGTCAAAACTCGCCTACGCACCGGGCTGATCGAAACTGATTCCACCTACCACCTGTTGGTTTCTTTGCTTAATGTTGAGAACTTCAAAACATACAAAAAAAGTCATCTAAAGACTCTGAAGACTTTTTTTTTGGACTTTATGTATCTGAAGACATTTCTTTTGGACTTTCTGTAAAGTTCTTCCATATGGCATTATTATTTTGGATCATTTTTCTTGTTGCTCACCCTTCAGAATGGAAATTCAAGTTCATGCCTTGGGTTATTGTGCATGACATGACAGTTCCATTTCATGAAGATATTTCTCTGTTGAAATTTGTTGAGGTTCAGCGCGGGCATATGTTTCTGCAAAGATCGCGCAATACACCGAGACTCGAGCAACTTGTATATTCTTATTTTTCCTGCTTAAGTTTAAAAAAGTTAATTTTAAGTTGTGCTTTGATTTAGTGTTTTGGTGGTATCAGTTGTTGTTGCACAGAGTTTTTGAATTTTCTAATGCTCTGACACCTGAGGCAATCAGCAATCCCAATGTGCCCAGCAGTTCTGGAAGCAGAGACTGCAGAAGTCCTGTGGAAAGCCCTGAAAGAAAAACATCCGATTCCATTATGGGGCGACTAGTCGGAAGTAGACTCTACTTTGAAGTTTTTTCTTTTCTGATAACACCTACCGATAGAAATATGAGTCACTTCCCACTAACTGCTAGTATTAGTAAAGTAATATTAGCATATATGTTGCAAAGGTTACAAGTAGAAGTTACAAGGTACTGACATAACCTTACTAGACTAGGAAAAATTCACGAAGTAACTAGAACTCAAATTGGGCTACGTTATGTTATTGAATCTAATTTGTTTCATAGTCTGTCTGATTGAAAAGAGTCTATTTGCTAGCAATATCCCAATCAAATTAGCTGGTCCAGTTTAAGTTTTAGATTTTCTTGTTCATATTATTTGCATTATCTCAGCTTTTCCATTTCTACTTCTATCAAGAAAGGATGGGCAGATCGATGTGAGAAGTTTGTTCTTCGTTTGGTTTCTGATTCGGCATCAGCAAACATCAAGTTATTCGAAGCGGGTTGTAGACCAGAACGTCCTCCCAATGCACTGCTCCTTCACAAGCTTTGTGATCAGCAACTTGTAGGAACCTAGATTAAGTTGTGAACCAATTTTTTATATATATGCAGGATTTAGTTTGTTGTATTCTTTTTGAAATTCCAATCTGTTGAGTTCATAGCTCAAGTTTCAATATGTAAAATTCTAACTTCAAACCCATGTTAATTATGAGTTTTTAATCTTTATTTGTTTATTGTTGGTTTGTCTTACTACAAATGGTGGCTTTTCTTGTTGACAAATGACGTATAGTTTTACTTTTTAGTTTTATGTATGTTGACCCGGGGAAATACAACTTAGACATGATCTCAACCATGCATCAGAGCCTCTCTATCGCGCGCTTGGGCAGTTGACACCGATGAATCTTGTCAGCATCAGCACGTTGATGATGTGATAATCAATGAATAATATGATTTTGGTTTGCGTCTTCCAAGTCATTGAGTCACGAGTCTTGAGGTTTTATTGTGTCGGTTTCCTGTCGAGTGGATCAAATCTTCTCACACTGCTTCGGCATCTGGAGCGATGGGTCCTCTCAGACCCAACATCTGTGCAGGTTGTGTTCGACAGGCAGTAGTTTATTTACATTTTCACCCATTACTTGATTTGTTGGTTTGTTGGTGTATGAATCATGTGTTTCTTTAAGGCTTTAGTTTAGATTTTATAATTAAAAACATTTACATGTCAAGATGTACAAATATTATACACTATTTGGCTACCTTTTGTTTTTTTTTGCCAAGCTGGTTATGTTTTTTTTGGTTGGTGTTTTCAGGCCAGATGCAAAGATTCGACGACAAAACGAATCATTGGTAGAGATGGTTTTAGGTCCTCGACCACCCAAGGGTGATAAGATGGGGGAACGATGGCATCATGCTATCACACTTTTGAATCTCGATACAGGGAGCTGGAGCATGCCAACAATACAGCACCATTGTTCCGGAGTGTACTGTTGCAGAAACGGAAAGACTGAAACACGGCGTAAGCTTTGGTCAGCCATCCTTGCAACTCGGTTCAACTACTTTGATAATTGAAGTTTTGGGGGTGTTTGGAATTTGGATGTATGTGGTATTGGTTCGTGCCATATTTCATGACATGATTTCTGATCGACTTGTTTGTATCACATTTGCTGTCAAAACAATTTGTTGACAGGGGGGCAGGGCATGCAAATATATACAGGAAGTATGCATGTATATTTTACATATATATATACATATAATATATAATATACTTAGATTATACATACACACTTTCCACGTAATATATATATATATATATACATACATATTAATTTTTAATATATGGTATATGTGTTACCATTTTACATATACATATAACATAGTGTATATGATATGTAGTATTGGCTCGATTCCAAGCATATCTTCGACTGTTCAAAGTTCTGCAGTGAGGCGTATATCTTCAGTTCCAAACCCACAACTCCAGCGATTGCACGCTGGACAAGCTGCGGTACGGCAACCAAGTACTTCTGGTGTCTCTGCAAGATTACACATGTTGGGATGTGGTTTGATGAATTTCACCGGGATAGTTTAGCAATATAGTTAGAGATGCAATAGGTGTTTAGTTTTGTAGCTTTTGTTTTTTCAATAGTTTTAATATTTAATTTAATACGATGTTTTTTGATCAGTGTCAATCCCTGAGGACAGCTCTATCATACCACAACTTGCTACGCAGGGGGTTTGAGATGATGCATGGAAAATCGAAATTGAAAAGTTTGAAAACTACCTTCGATGAGGCCAATAGTACGATGACAGCTGCAGATTTTCTTCAATCTTCTGTGCTTCCGGGGGCATCCACTGACCTTCACCGCAAAGCAATGGGCATCAGGGCATACAAAGCATTCACATGGTTGGGTACAGACAACACCCGAGTGAACTTGTTGATAACAACTGCATGCCTAGCGCCACTTGAGAAGATTATGTTCACTTTTTTGGGTTGGCAGCGGGACAACTTGTTCCTAATGGACGCTCCTTCTCCCATTGCCATCATGAGCACACCTTCGTCACCCGCTCGCCAAGCAGTTACTGATCTCTACAATTTGATGACAGACGGCAAGCTCATATCAGTTTCTGACCCAAGGGTTTGCTTTCTTGACTTGATGGAAGGACTCAACAAATTTGGGGCAGTGGTGTTCTTTTTGTAGAGCGACTTAAGTACGAAAAGTCTAAAATCATTTCGCCCAATTGGTAGTACTAGGATCGAGCAGATTATAAGAGTACTTCCATGGTTTTTAAGGGTGTCATTACTTTTACTGTTACTATCAACTTCTAACCTTCAACTTTCAGCCCAAATGGAGAACAACCTACTAGGCATTTACAATTATATGTTTCAATTTCATAAGTCCATTTGTGAGTTAGTTCCATGCCAGGTCTCTGCTATGA